CTTTGGCAAAACAAAAACGTTTACCTTTTGTTTCATTGAATAAAATCTCGAATAAACCGTTTGATATTCTTCACTGTGATATTTGGGGGCCATATCATATTGATTCATATCAGGGGCATAAATTTTTTGTGACTCTTGTTGATGATTGCACTAGATACACATGGGTTTACTTGATTAAACACAAGTCTGAAGCTCAAATTATCATTCCTAGATTCTTTGATATGGTTCTTACGCAGTTTGAAGCAAAGGTAAGAATTTTTAGATCAGAYAATGCAAAAGAATTGGCATTCACTGAGTTTTTCCATAGCMGAGGTGTGTTGCATCAATATTCATGTGTAGAGAGGCCACARCAAAACTCGGTTGTTGAACGGAAACATCAACATTTGTTAAATGTTGCCAGAGCCCTGTTTTTCCAGTCAAAGATCCCTTCTAAATATTGGTCGGAATGTGTCATGGCAGCAACYTTTTTGATAAATAGGACACCATCTCGAGCCATTGGTAATGTTTCTCCTTATCAGAAGCTTTACAATGAATGTCCAGATCATTCTCAACTCAAAACATTTGGATGCTTAGCATTTGCATCTACTCTCCATGCTAATAGAACGAAATTTCAGCCCCGAGCAAGGAGTTGTGTATTCCTAGGATATCCTAATGGAATGAAAGCATATAAGCTTCTAGATATGGAAACAAGACAGGTTTTCATATCAAGGGATGTTGTTTTCCATGAGGAGATATTTCCTTTTCATAATTCATATTCTCAAGTTCACGATAACCCCTTTCCGATGCATGTAGTTCCTATTGCTGAAGATTCTCCCTCTGCTTCTGATTATGTGGATGGTGTGACAAATCAGAATGATAACTCAAATCCACAATCCTCTCCTCAACCTCCTATTTTTGATTCTATGCCAACGGGTGATAACGGTCACCATAGACCCACAAGAGTTCGCAATCCTCCTTCCTACTTAAGAGATTACCATTGTAGTTTGGTGCGCGATGAAGTCTGTCATTCCTCTAGTTGCCAATACCCAATTTCAGATGTGTTATCCTATCAGAAGTTATCTGCAAAACACAAAGCCTATGTGTTTGCTTTGTCTACTCAAAATGAGCCCAAAAATTATGCTGAAGCATCATGTTCAAAGGAATGGCAGCAGGCTATGAGTGAAGAATTACAGGCTTTGGAATTGAATAAAACATGGAGTATTGTTCCTCTTCCAGCAAATAGAAAGGCTCTTGGATGTAAGTGGGTTTACAAGATTAAAAGAAATGCCGATGGTTTGATTGAACGGTATAAAGCACGGTTGGTAGCCAAGGGTTTTAATCAACGGGAAGGCGTTGATTTTCTCGATACCTATTCACCCGTGGCTAAATTGGTTACTGTTAAATTGATGCTTACATTGGCAGCACAAAATTCATGGCCTTTGATACAATTGGACGTGAACAATGCTTTTTTAAATGGAGATCTTGATGAAGAGGTATATATGCAATTACCAAAAGGGTATACGTTTAAGGGGGCGAGTTCTTCCGATTCTCCATTGGTATGCAAGCTACATAAATCTTTATATGGGCTACGACAAGCATCAAGACAATGGTATGCAAAGTTTTCTAACTTTCTTGTTTCAGAAGGCTTCACTCAATCTAAAGCCGATTATTCATTGTTTTATCGAGGAGTTGGATCTACATATGTTGCGTTACTTGTTTATGTGGATGATATAGTGCTTACGGGGGCCTCTTTAGATGAGATTAATGTTGTCAAAACACGGCTCAGTGCTCAATTTAAACTTAAAGATTTGGGATCGTTAAAGCATTTTTTGGGTCTTGAAGTTGCTAGATCCAGTGATGGCATTTCTCTCTCTCAACGTCAGTATACTCTTGAACTTCTTCAAGATTCCGGTCTTTTGGCAGCCAAGCCTGCCCAATATCCCATGGATCCCAAGTGCAAGTTATCAGTTTTTGAAGGTGAACTTCTACAAGACCCAGCCCGGTATAGGAGGTTACTTGGACGTCTCATGTATCTTACTATCACAAGGCCGGACATTGCTTATGCAGTTCATCGGTTGAGCCAATATGTCACTAGTCCTCGYGTTCCTCATATGCAAGCTGCTACTCATTTGTTAAGRTACTTGAAACTAAATCCAGGACAAGGTCTTTTTCTGTCTGCTAAGCAATCCTTACATCTTAAAGCTTTCAGTGAAACTTCTTGGGCCAAACTGAAGGCTTTTAGTGATTCCGATTGGGCGGGCTGTCCCGATACACGGAGATCAATCACTGGGTTTTGTGTGTTTCTTGGGGATTCCTTGATCTCCTGGAAATCAAAGAAGCAATCTATTGTGTCCAGGTCSTCCACCGAAGCAGAATACCGGGCCATTGCTGCTGTCACCAGTGAAGTTGTTTGGTTACAGCGTCTTTTGCGTGATTTTGGTGTTCCTACGTATGAACCTACCTTGGTATTCTGTGATAATACATCTGCTATTCAGCTGGCTTCCAACCCAACTTTTCATGAGCGTACGAAACACATCGAGATTGATTGCCATTTTGTTCGTGACAAAGTCATTGATCATACCATTAAGTTGATGCCGATTCGAAGTAGTTCTCAGCTCGCCGATATTTTCACTAASCCGTTGCCTCGTTCCAAACTGTTACCAATTCTTTCCAAGATGGCTCTTAAAAACATTTTCACGAGTCCATCTTGAGGGGGCGTATTAGAATTGTATTTTAGGTTGTACTGTTTGGTGTGGTCTATGGTTGTTTCGGTGTTCCCGAGTGTACAATATCTTTTAGCCTGTTGTATAAATACTTGTTTGCATTGAGTAAATAAGATGGAAAAACACTCTCTCTCAGATCTCAGATTTACAATATTTCCCAAGGTACAATGCCATCAGCCACAACCAGTGAGAGAGCATTAACACTACGGGTTGCAGATGAAGGCTTCTCTTCTTAACCCTCACAAAGCCAAGAAGATATTTAATTTACAGTGCACTTGCCCGTCCTTCTCTCATTTTTGTATAATTAAGTTGACCGGTTTTCGCATAATACTCATCTGTTATTATATACGAACAGCTTATTAATACGTTACTCATAACCAACCGATAAATATATATAGAGAGGGGGAAGGCCCTTCCTATCAAGAGGAAAAACACTAAA